TTTTTTCTCCAAACAAAGTGGCACAACTTGCTGCACTGTGCTAGGGTCTGTCCTACACCCACTGAACACTGCTCAATACTATTCAGCACCCTCAATGAGAAGAGAGGGTCTCTGGATCTTAAAACATATGAACAGACACTGTGGCTAAGCCAGAGACCCAGCCTTCAACTGTATTCAACTGTATCAGTTGCTCCTATAATCAAAAATAAGCAATCGAAGCAGAAGTCAACTTGTTTAAGGGATGAAGAAGCTTCTCCTAAGAGGGAGCAGGAGAGAGAATCAGAAGGAGCAGCCTGTTCTGCAGCAGAGCAGTCACAAGAACAGGAGGAAGAAGGGACTGAAATCGTAAATAATACAGAAATCGCTCAATCCCTATCCCTAAGTGAGCTGCAAAATATGCAATAAGATTTCAGCTGTCAACCAGGTGAGGAAATTCTCAGCTGCTCATGCCAATGCTGGGATATTGGGGCCAATAGTCAGGAATTACAGGGTAAGGAAGGCTGGCAGCTGGGATCCCTTGCTAGGGATAAGGCCATTGACAAAGGGATTGTAAAAGGGGCCGGAGTCTTTGGAGGTGACTCCTGTCAAGTGTGAAGGATGGGTATCCCTTCAAGGAAGAGCTTGCAAATTCACTTTGCAAGTGGACCACCACTGAGGGAGGTACCCTGGTATCTGAGGGATTTAGCTGTGGTGGAGATGATCTACAGATACCTGCTTGCTGACCAGGTTGCTAAATTCCTGGATGAAATCTGGTGTGCACAGTCCATGTGGCAAAACTTTGTACAAAGTGCATCGATGTCATATGTCAAAACTCTGGTGATAATGAGCTGGACAGACATGGAGGCACCAACTGTAGACAGATTGGCAAGGCAACTTTCAGAATTTAAAGACAGTCTTGTTTCTTCCATACAGGTCTGTATCTTAGCTGTGGAGAAACCCACAAGTTTCTTTCTCACTTTTACCCTTCTGATTCTCCCCGCCATCCCACCGTGGGGGAGTGAGCAAGTGGCTGTGTGGTGCTTAGTAGCCAGCCGGGCTTAAACCATGGCATCCATGTAACTGCTCTTAAATCTGTAGCAAGTCTTTATGCTATAGGCTAGAATACATTCAAAATTAGTGTAATGCCATAACTTTGGCTAGTTAAGCAGCTTACTGTAGGCACAAAACAATCTTATTTTTTGTGTATGATTGGGCAATGTAAGTATTTGGTTCTTTCTGCATCTTTCCTTTTCCCTCTTATGAATACCCATAGGTACTGTAGTAAAGAGGTACAGATTTATCCTTCCATAGCTTCTCTCAACCCTTTTAAGTTTTGAATAGGCAGCTGGGGGTGTTCTGAGTGGAAAAAAAGATAGGCAGCTTCTTTGGAGTGGAGACCATGTTACTTCAGTGTTCAAAAATCCACGTCCAAACATCTACCAAAAAGTTATGCATCATCAACATTTTTTCATTTTATGTTTTGTTATATGTGTACTTGGATAGGGATGACTAAGTGGGTAGTGATTCAAAAAAGTTAAAGAAATTTAAACTCAATAACATCAAAGTGTTACTAAGCAGACATCTTTATTGCAGCACTGGACACATGGGGGATATCTCCTCCTAACGTGTGCATTGAAACAGAAGTTCATCCTTTATATACCATAAAGACATGAATATTCACACATTTTCCAAGAAACCTCTGCCTCCTTGCTTATCTATTATATTTACATAATGCTGGTGTTACAAGACTACACTACGCATGCACGGGGGTCTTGGGTGGTCGTCTGGGGAGTTAGTCCCCTATTCCTTTTTCCATTTTATGGTCATGGGTCTCTTGAGGATAATTTCTTCTCCTTGGATGTTTGCCCCTTCTGTTGTACAGCCAAGCGGTTCCTTTTTATCATCCTTGTTTGAGCATTCCAAAAAAAAAATTCCTGCCAGTCTGGCTCTATGCTCAAGGTTAAGATATCTCCTCTGTACTCATTAATCTCTCAGGTCTTGCTCTTAACTCTTGTTTTAATTTTCATGAGGCTTGCTTTCCTTGAGATTAACTGTTCACACATAGTTAAAATGTTAGCACTGAGGCCAATATAGCCTAAGGACTATGGGGGTACACCGTTAAACATAATCACACAGTTATTAGGCTATAGAATTCTATACTGAAGTTAAACTAATCATGTAATCAATAACCTTCCAGAAAGTACATATATTAAGAATTTGCAAAACTTACAGTTGATTAGTTACACATGCTAAAACCTTATAATTGTTTTAGATCTTTGTTTCAAAACTAAGATAGTGGCAGTAAAAAAATATACCATTTACATAAAAAGCTGGTTGAGTTACACAAAGATATTTTTGGAGCTCAGGTGGTTGAAAAACTTAGAGGAGAGGGGACTTTTTCAGTCTTTTGCAAAATTTCCTGCAAAATATTGTGATGGTGGCGATTCCTTTATGTACTGTTTTGTCTGCTACACCGAAGGGGACTTGGATTGACAACTGTGATTCTTTCTGAACAGACAAAATAATTTTATTTTTTCAAGAATTTAGTATCAAACGTGTTTGCTTTACATACATATACTCACACTTCTATTTTTAAATCTAGAGAACATGAATGGTTTAAGCAGGACCTTCCAAAATACTTGTTTCCTGAAGACCCTTCATATAGCTCTACCATGATTGATGATGAAGCCTTAAAAGAAGTGTGTGAGAAGTTTGAATGCACCGAAGAGGAAGTGCTAAGTTGTCTATACAGCCAAAATCATCAGGACCCTTTAGTGGTTGCTTATCACCTCATTATAGATAATAGAAGAATAATGAATGAGGCCAAAGACTTCTACTTGGCTACAAGCCCACCGGATTCTTTTCTTGATGATCACCACCTGTCTCGTCCTCATCCTGAAAGAGTGCCATTTTTAGTAGCTGAAGCACCACGTCCTCGCCATACTCTGGATGAGCTGAATCCACAGAAATCAAAACACCAAGGTGTAAGAAGAGCCAAGTGGCACTTGGGAATACGGAGTCAGAGTCGACCAAATGATATCATGGCTGAAGTTTGTCGAGCAATTAAGCAACTGGATTATGAATGGAAGGTAAGAGAATCAAGGATCTTTACAGCAGAGAACAGTGAATTTTTGTTTGAGCCCTGTACTTACATAGCCTAGAAGTCTGAAATTATGTACTCCTGTGCTGGAAAATAATCTCATGTGCCTGTGCTGACTGCTGGTACTTGCTGTGCAGGAAGGGTTTTGGGGAAGGTTGTTCATGCTGACAGGAAAAAAAAGCTTGCTAACATGTCTAACTCTTCTACTGGGGCTGTAGGAATTTTTTTTTGTTGGCTAAAAAAAAAAACAAACCCACAACTTGAACAGGTAAGCCTGAAATCACTTGATAATACCAGTGAGTTGAAATCACAAAAACAATATTCACTACTTTTCAAGCAGTTCTGATAACTTAACTCAAATCTCTTGTATTAGGTTGTGAATCCTTACTATTTACGTGTTCGAAGGAAGAATCCAGTAACAAGTGCATATTCCAAAATGAGTCTACAGTTGTATCAGGTGGACAGCAGGACATACTTACTGGACTTCCGTAGCATTGATGGTATGTGAAGGCTTACATAAGTTAATGGACTTGTATGGTAAATCATTCTAAACGCAAACATGTCTTAATTTACTCGTTTACAAGTGAAGTAAGTGTTGTTCTTTACTAGTTTAAGCCAATCTATATCTGTATTGCTGTTTTTTTATTCCTTCCTGTTCTAGTGTTCCTGTGATTAGGTGGTTAGCTGCTTCATGCCTTAAATAATAGCTTTTCAGCTGTATCAATTCCTAGACTGCTCCATTTTGTGTCTGCACCAGCGCTAATACCACTCGTGCAAAAGGGGACAGGGCTGAGAGGTGACATTTGGATGCACCTAAGCTGCCTTTGGAACTTCACCCCCAAATGTAAATGTTAATCTAGATCTGAAGTAAACATGTGAATAACGCTTCCTAGTGAAGCTAAAGCATGGCATTTAAATTTGACTTGGACTGTACATTGCTGTACTGGGTCTGGCTGAGACGAGTTTTTCTTCACAGCAGCGGACATGGTGCTGTATTTTGGATCTGTGACTAGAATGGTGTTGATAATATACCAGTGTTCTGGCTGCTGCCGAGCAGTACTTGCATAGTATCTAGTCTTTTTCTTCACTCTGCACCCAGTGAGTAGGCCAGGGATGAGCAAGAAGTTGGGACGGGTCGCAGCCTGGAGAGCTGAGCCAGATAGATCAAAGGGATCACAGAATCACAGAATCACTAGGT